GTTAACTATCAAATCAACCACCATTTTTGACTTTCCCTCTCACAGTTGGGACCCATAGGTTGACTATAACGGCTATAATTTTGATTAAAATCCCACAAAATTGCTCCCAAACATGCTCTAAATTTTAATAAGTAAGAAAAATAGAAGACAAGGCTTGAACTCTCGAATCTCTTTGAACGATTAATTGTCTTCCAATCCTAGAAATCTAATGTTGTCTTCAAGATATTTTTTGGTCTTTTTATCTAAAATTCGTCACCTGTAACATCCAAGAGTCAATCAGGGGCAGCCATGAACATCGGCGAATCCAAAAAAAAAAATTGGACACGAGTTAAAAAATACTAATTTTTTTTACTTAGGATTGGGCTGGAGGGACGGACTGTAGCAGAGGCTGGTCCGTCCCTAAATCTGCCCCTGGCCATGAAGCTCGTGCTAGAGGTGCGACTGCTTATGGCCCATGATAATTGGGGCACCATAAACACATACATAATGCATTACGTAAATGTAATACATTATATTTGTTAATTTTAAAAACATTTTTTAGAATGAATTTTTATAAAGTTAATGGGCACATAATTTAATATTGTCCAACCCACAAAATGTGGTCCATTTTTTTTTAAAAAAAGTACCTGTAAATAAAGGAAAAATTGATATATACCTTAAAATATTGAAAAAAATGTAATAAATAAGCAAAAGAAAAAAATGATGGGTAATAAGACTATATTGTAGGTTTCTCATTGTTGTGGACCACCTCTCCCACAAATTACTCCACCCCTTCATAAAATTATGTTTATTCAAAACATTAAACCCAAAAGTTATTCTCAATATTATTTTCAATCCTTCTACAATTATGTCCAATCTTCTAGACATTCAGCCTCGCCCAAATCTTTCGAGAAAAACATAATAAGCCCATCATTCTTCTCAATTTCGTGATAAAATATCGTGTTTCTAAGTTCGAGATTCTTCTTAGAATTCTTCCCATGATTCTTTTCAATCCCTAGTCGAATTGTAATAATAACACAAACTAAACTAAGACAATATGCAAATTTTAACATATTGTGATTTGTGAATTACCGTCGAAATTCGACTTTTTTGATTAACATTTCCTATTTGTAATTTGGTAGGCTATAGGTATTGCTTCCAAATTAAGGGAAAATATTGAAGATTGTTAAAAAGTTTTAGTAGTTATTTTTCACTAACAAATGGAATAACTTTGATAACAATTTAACATGATTTGCAAGAAAATATTAATTACAAAAGTTCAATTTGTGATTTTGCTTCTAGAAATGACAGAAGAAGTAATTTCACAGGGTTTGCTTCATTTTCAAGGTTTAATAAACATTTAAATGTTATATTTTTTCTGGGTAGTAGTTTAATATTCAATTAATTAATAGATATAGCAATGCCCTAAAGGTATAAGGAGGCCTCAAATTTTTTTTTTGAAAGCTGAAAACAATTATCTTTATGAAATGTGCAAATTACACTTGGTACTTATATAAATTCTAATTTCAATTTTACTACCCACTTTTTTTATTCTGAAAGTACATTTAGTTTTTAAAGAAACATGAATAATATTTAATAAATAAAAATAAAATAAATTTGCTTGATTTATCGAACATGAAAATTGATTGTCGAACGAATCAAATTCTATAACCTTGTGGTGAAGTGAACAAAATCATGCCTTTTTAATGAGTTTTGGATTGCGAATAATTGTATTAGTTCATGTATGCAACTTCTCAACATGACTGAAGTGTCAA